AGGCGTGCGCCACCACCGCCCGGCTAATTGAATGTGTTTTGAAAACCTCTCTCTGTTAGACCTTTTCTTTGCTGATTTTCACCAGAGCTGTTCCCTAGGACAGTCCTGTACTTTACTACCATGTCAGAACTCAGGTGACAGCCACGCTGTGACAACACAGATGACATCAGTGTATTCCGCTCCAAACCCACCCTGTATACATAAAACTCTTCCTTTGGACTCTTAGAACAAGTTCACAAAGAGATCACAATACTCAGAAGGCCTACAGGAGCCCGGAGTGGTGTGTGTGTGTGTGTGTGTGTGTGTGTGTGTGTGTGTGTGTAAGGAACTATCACAGAGTCAATATTTGAGCGAAGAAACTGGGAGTATATAGTTCAGTGGTAGAATGCTTGGGCTAAGACCCTGAGTTAGACCCCTCCTAGCAATGCAAATAAAATAAAATAAATCATACATATAGTGTGTGTGTGTATATATATATATATATACATACATGTATATACTGTATATTTTTATTATATGAATATAATTACATATATGTCATATATATGTATAGATAGATAGAATTGAATCTCAAATGATAAAGAAAAATGGTGGTAAGTATATACTAAAAAGATTTTTCCAGCAAAAAAGAAAATAGCATAAAGACTTGTTAGATTCCCGGGAATTTAACCTGGAGCAAATGCCAAGTTCTCATTGTTTTACAATATTGTATTTAATATGATTTTTGCCAAAAGGCAGATATTATACTTATTTTCTAGGTTACTAGTTGCATGGTAAATCAGTGCTGTCCAAGGTGATACTCAATAACTATATAGCCCAGACTGGCCTCAAATTCACAGTAATCCCCCTGCCTCAGTCTGGATTACTGATACAGGCCATAGTGCCCAACTAAGTAACTTTGTTTTGTAGCTTACATAGCCCAGGTTGGCCTTGAACTCCTGATCTGCCTGTATACAGCTCACAGATTCTAGGATTATAGATGGTGACACCATACCCTGTTTAATAATGCTTCTTAAAAGTTACAAAATAAAGGCTGGGCAGTGGTGGCGCATGCCTTTAGTCCCATTACTCGGGCAGCAGAGGCAGGCAGATCTCTGTGAGTTCAAGAACCCTGTCTCAAAACAAAACCAGAAGTTACAAAATAAGAAAGACTTCTAGGTAAGCTGGCAGGCTGGAATTTGCTTCTGTGACACAGTACAAAAGTATCAAAATAAGAAAAAAACAGACAGGGGCTGCAGAGATGGCTCAGCAGTTAAGAGCACTTAACTGCTCTTTCAGAGGTCCTGAGTTCAATTCCTAGCACCTACATGGTGTCTCACAACCACCTATAATGGGATCTGATTCCTTCTTCTGATGCGCATGAAGACAGAGCACTCATACACATAACATACATGAATGAATAAATAAATAAATCTTTAAAAAAGAAAAACACAGAAGAATGTCAGAAATCCTTCAAGTGAGGTAGTCAGCGGGCAAATGCAGAGTCACAGGGTGTGGCTGGGTGCTGGCTACACCTCATCCAGAAGGTAAACCAGGAAGCCTGTGAGAAGAAACCCGCAGGCAGCCTACCCACAGGCCAGGGCCAGCTCTCACAAGCCTCAAACCCATCCACTGGCCTTGCCGAAACTGTCTCTGGCAGGGCTGGTCAGCAGCTAAGAAGTGCAACCCCCAGGCTCACAGAGCTGGGGTGGAGCGCCATCTTAAAAGCAAGCTGAGAGGCCCGGGGGGGCAGTGGCAGGTGAGTCTGAGTTCAAGGCCAGCCTGGTCTACAGAGTGAGATCCAAGACAGGCACCAAAACTACACAGAGAAACCCGGTCTTGGAAAAAAAAAAAAGGAGGCGGAGGAGGAGAATCATTTGAAAGCCATCTCCATGTCTATAGGATAGTTAAGCTGAGGAATTTTGAGGGAGTAGGTTTTGTTTTGTTTTGTTTTTTGTTTGTTTTGTGTGTGTGTGTGCGCGTGCGTGCGTGCGTGTGTGTGTGTGTGTGTGTGTGTGTGTTGAGACAAAGTCTCAGTTATCTGAGGCTAGCCTCAAACTTGCTACGTAGATGAAACTAGCCTTGAACTCCCGGGTCTCCTGTCTCCACCTCTGTTGGCAATCGCACTCACACATGTACATATCCCTACACACACACACACACACACACACACACACACACACACACACACACACATCTTAAAAATAAAAATTTCAGCACAATTAAAATGTTCTATAAAGGTTGCTGACAGAGAGAGTATGTCCCTTGAAGGGACAATGCCAATAAGAATGTCCAAACAGTCAGGGTGGTCACACGTGACTTTAATCCCAGGGCTTGGAAGACAGAGGCAGGCAGCTCTACATAGCTCTACACAGAATTCCAGGACAGCCAGGGCTACAAAGAAACCTTGCCTCGGAAAACCAGAAAAGGCTTCTTCAAAGAGCAGCACCAGGTCACGCTTAGGACCATAGGCGCCTTTCCTAGTGTAAGTATGCAATTTTCTGGCACTCTCCAAAACAAGAATGTGAAACTTATTCACAGTGAACACAGGTCTTCACTCCTTGAGCAACCTTTATGACCAGTGGTTTTACTTATCAGATTGTAACCATACCTAAGGCACCTCGGGAAACCGCATGATCTCATTTACTGGAAAAGAGGAGGGAAGAGTGCTGAAGAAACTCTCTGAAGGACGTCAGCCCGAGATCACAGGTAAGGAAATGAGACGCTCTTGAGAAGCCCACAGCACCCTCAGGAGTAGCCCTCTCTACTCCGGGTATTTGCTTCTGAGACAGTCTCACTGTGTAACCCTGGCTAGCCTCCCTGCCTCTACCTCATATACATACAAGTACTGTTTTTATTTTAGATTTATTTTATGTGCATGAATGTCTTGCTTGCATGTATATCTGGGCACTGTTCAAATACATGCCTGTGCACTATGCACATGTATGTTTGTGCACTGTGTGTTTCTGTGCATCATGCCAGTGTGTCTGTGAACTAGCTCAAGTACGTCTGTGCACTGTGCATGTGTATGTTTGTGCATTATGCGAGTGTGTCTGTGCACCTGGCACCTGAGGAAGTCAGAAGAGTCAGATTCCCTAGAAATGGGGTTAGGATGGTCGAGAGCCACTGTAAGGAGCAGGGAACTAAACCCAGGTCCTATATAAAAGCGGGGACCATTCTCAAACTCCCAGCCATCTCAGCTCCTCCAGAATTATTATTATCTTTCTTGTTGTTTGAGACAATGGGCTCACTGTGGCTTCACTGAGATCCACCTGCTTCTGCCTCCTGAGTGCCGGGATTAAAGGCAGTGCCACTGCATCTGTGGAATTTATACAGTGAAGTTTAATGAAGTCAGGCATCTGACCACAAAGCCCAATCAGTACCATCTACAGGCTCTTTCATCCTTCACACCTTGGGACCCCCAGGAGGAGTTTCTAACTCAGAGTTCAGGCTGCTGTATTGGAGAGTTTCTTCCATGATCCCAGCCCAGGTAGAGGCAGGAGGATTAAAAGCTCAAGGCCAACTTCAAGTACATAACAAGTTACAGCCCAACCTGGGCTACATGAGACCCTGGGGGGGGGGGGGAGCAACTAACTAAATAAAAGCTGTATCTCAAATGTGAACCTGAATATGAACCATCAAGAATCCTATTAAAGTGAAGTTTGTACTCAGTGCATGTGAGGTGAAACAACCAGTTCCCAGGTTGGCCTGGTTGTTCAGCCACAGCGAAAGGCCTTCAAGCCCTTGAAATTCCAAGGACACAGCTTACTCATCCAGATTCCACAGATGTTAAAGTGGAGAAACACACTTAATTTTCCAGTCAGCGTTACCTTCACCAAAACAAGGAGGGTGCCGCACTTCTTAATTTAAGCTAAACAACGTAATAACAGCTGTATTAAAACCTAGAATGAGGGGTTGGGGATTTAGCTCAGTGATAGAGTGCTTGCCTAGTAAGCGCAAGGTTCTGGGTTCAGTCCTCAGCTGGGGGACGACGACACGACACCTAGATTGATTGCAACTCATGGCTGTGGATCTAGTTCAACAGACTGTTTGCCGAGCAAGCAGGAAGGCCTGCATGAAAACTGGGCATGGTGCCGAATGCCTCTAATCCCCACACTCCGAGACTGAACCAAGACTACGTAGAAAAACTCTCTTGGCAAAACAAAAGAGCTTTTTAAAAAATGAAATATAAAGAGAATAGTATGTGATGATGATGATGGTGGTGATGATGATTACAGTTCCAATAACACCTCTTCTGTCTCTAAGAAGTACTAACATAAGACAAAAACAAATGGGAAACTAATTTGTGGGAATCCAGGCAAAGGATTCAACCCAGACTACCACCATGAATAATGGAGAGAAGGAGATTGCTTCTTTCCAATGCTGGTTCATCCTCCTTTGCACAGACTTCACTCTTAATAGCACAGCAGAACTGGACCAAGTGCAATATGTCATAAATAGCTAACAGAGTCTGTCAATAAACCTCATTATACCAACTAAACAGCCTCATTCACAGTCCTGGTGCGATCGATCTGGCTGCCGATTCTTACAATTAAGGTACAAAAGGTTAAAGAGAGAGCCTCTTTATGAAAAGAAGTCTGAGGATGCCAAAGACAACCGGTCTCCAGAAGTCCCTCCCCTATTTGTTAACCAAACACGTCTCGAGTTTCAAATCCCTAAGAAAGCAAAACTATACAAATGTCACCGCAAAAAATAAATATCCTGATGCAATAGGGTGACATCATGGGGTTGCATTTCTGAATCTACCATTCTTAACCCTCGGTCTCGACCTTAACAAGCCCTGTATTATCCTCTTCATACACTAAGCAAGTAATCTATGCCCTAACTTCTCCCTCTCTCCTAAGATTTATACAGCAGTTCAGACCCTGCTCCTTACTCAATTTATATTCATTCTATCTATTATAAGGATAATTAGTAAGTTTATGAGATTATACTTATTTTTAGTGCGTTTTGGTTTGGTTTGGTTATGCTGGGGAACGAACCCAGGGTCTCCTCAGTGAATTACATCCAACTCTGCATGACTTTGAGGGCTTGCCATTCACCTAACTCGAAGCTCCATAAATTCAAACACACATGTATTGATCATTACTATAACCAAGCATCCAGCAGGACATTTCAATAATTACTGATAGGCCAGGCTGGTTGAATGAATGGATGATGTCTAAAACACAGTAGAAATGTTTGTTGAATTAACTTTTATTTATTTACTTTTGTGTGTACCGATGTGTACTGGGTGGTTCTGTGTGTCAACTTGACACAAGCTAGAGTCATAAGAGGAAGGAGCCTCAGCTGAGGAAATGCCTCCTTGAGATCCAGCTGGAAGGCATTTTCTCATTTAGTCATCAATGGGGGAGAGCCCAGCCCATGGTGGGTGGTGCCATCCCTGGCCTGGTGGTCCTGGGTTCTGTAAGAACATGGGCTGAGTGGGCTATGGGAAGCAAGCCAGTAAGCAGCACCCCTCCATGGCCTCTGCATCAGCTCCCACCTCCAGGTTCCTGCCCTGTTTGAGTCCCTGCCCTGACTTCCTTCAGTAATGAACAGCAATGTGGGACTATAAGCCAAATAAACCTTTTCCTCCCCAACTTGCTTTCTGGCCATGGTGTTTTGTCGCAGCAATAGAAACCCTGACTAAGACAAGATGTTTTGTCTGCATGTATGTCGTGTGCCCTGTGAGTGCAGGGCTCTCAGAGGCCAGACAAGGGCAGCAGAGTCCCTGGAACTGGAGTTACGGGAACCGCCATGTGGGTGCCGGGATTAAAACAAGTACTCGGAACTTCAGAACTCTCTCTCCAGCCCATCACTAAATTAATTAATACGAACTTACTCACTGTCAGATATATACAACCACCAGTACAGATTTGTAGTAAAAATCTGCAAGCCCTGCCCTATAACAGTGCACTTGTTTTTAACCAATTTACCTCAGAAACATTAAAAACCTCACCATTTCTCTGTGTGTCCGAGAGACTTCTCTGCGCTTCATCTTGCTCAGGATTTTCACCAGATTTGGACAGCCGGTTTCTTAGTGACATCTTTTCTTCTCCCACCATCGAGCTGCCTAGGAAGGAGCAAGAGCCAGAAATAAAGTCGCTGAATGCTCCCAACATGAAGGGGCAACTGCGGACAAGCTATTGTGCTGACTGATGGGTACACAGGCAAACATCACTGCATATCGTAAATGTGCAGAGTTAATTGTGTGTCGGTTAAAAATCTGAATAAGGTGGCGAATGAAGCTCAGGGTACAGCGCTTGCCTCACATACAAGACTGACACCCTGGATCTGAACCACAGAATCACAAAAACGATTTAATTTCATTTAAAAATTAAAAGCTTTGAACTAAGTATCTGGCTAGTTGAATTTCGTATCACTACTATGCTTAAGGGAGGTGAAAACGGATGACATGTTATCTTTCTCTGATTTTAACCAGTTTTTGAAGACTTTTTGAGTATAAGATATTGAAACAAATTTGAAGAAATTGGCCGCTATCAAATGTTGGCTAGTTTCAACACCCTTTTTTTGGTTGTTTGTTTGTTTGTTTGTTTGTTTTTTCTTGGCCTTTTGGATAAAATTGATTTGCCAGGAAGGATGCTCCCATCATATATCTGCTGGAACCAGCGCATGGCCTCCTCTTTGCTGATTCTGTGCTTGGCCCCAATGCAGCCTGTCCTGCGCTTCTTGTCTGAGGTGCTGAAACCTGGTCTACCCAGCACCACATAGAAGTCCAGGCCGGAGATCCCAATGCTTGGGTCATATTTGATGCCCAGATCAATGTGTTCTTGAATCCCAAAGCCAAAGTTTCCAATATCTGAGAAGTTATTTTTCTGTAACTTATACTCCCGCACCTTCAGGCCTTTCTCCAGAATCTCTTCTGCCTTGGCTCCCCGGACAGTGCAGTTAACAGCAATCTTCTCATTTCTCCGGATGCCAAAGGACCTGAAAGTGTATCTAGCTTTAGAAAATACAGGCGTCTGGCCTGTGAGCTGCTCCAACGCCTTGGCTGCCCGGGTCAGTCTGTCTCCGCTCTCCCCAACACAGATACTGAGGCAGAGCTTGCGGATGCGAAGTTCCCACATGGGGTTCTCCTTTTCACCTTGATCTTGCATCATGATGAAAGAAAAGGAAGAGAGAGCAGAACTTCTGGCCCTGTGGCCTTATGGGTCAGGAGGCCTCAACGGCCCTTTTTAAACACAGCCCCCATTCTCAATCCACAATAGAGCTGAACGAAGCAGTGAACACAGGAAAACTTAAGAACAGCGAAAGAGCTGGGCATGGTGGCGCATGCCTTTAACCCCAGCAGGGGATCTTTGTGAATCTGAGGCCAGCCTGGTCTATCCTGAGTTCCAGGGTGGCCATACAGAACAACCCTGCTTCAAACAAAAGCAAAGGAACAGCAGAAGATGACGAAGATATGTCATGAGAATGGTCCTCTGATTCTGAGCCAGAGGAACGCCATCTTCCGCAAGCCACCATTGAACTGCAAGCCATCCTCCCCATGGCTGAAGTGTCTTCCAAGACCACAGGAGGGCTGTGAAGAAGCACATATGCAAGTAACTTCTCCACAGCACACTTGTCCGTGCTTTACGTAGGGGCTGAGTCTGTCATCTCCTCTAGTGCGTACACCACGGCTGTCTGAGAGTCACGGTGTGAACCTGCAGTCACCTCTACTGCCCTTCACACGGGGCACTGCTCTCAAGCCAGGTTTGCGGCCACTCTGTTGTAGACGTTACAATGTGGCTGGGTAAGGAGGAAGGCATATACATCTGTCTTTAGTTGTCCATAGCGCCTTGAGGAAGCCCTAGTAAATTCTTTGTACCATCTAGATGAACTTGAATGAGTCACACCTCGGGCTGCTGGTGCTATTCCAGTTGTTATTCCAGGCAGATGTTCATTTGACATCTCTTAGGAACAGTCACACATGATCCCACAAGCGAGAGCATGATTACCAAGGCAGTGGTGATAACTGCAAACATCTGGAGTTCAGAGAGAGGCTAGATCAGTCATTGAGATAATGCTTTCAAGAGAAGAGATATTCTTTGATTGAGCTTTGAAGGATGAACACTCCACGTGTGAGAAAGGGTTAAAACTGGAACTCTCGGGGCTGGAGAGAAGTCTCAGAGGTTAAGATTCCTATTGCTCGCCGGGCGGTGGTGGCGCACGCCTGTAATCCCAGCACTCGGGAGGCAGAGGCAGGTGGATCTCTGTGAGTTCGAGGCCAGCCTGGTCTACAGAGCTAGTCCAGGACAGGCACCAAAGCTACACAG